AATATAAGTTAATACTCTCCACAGAAGATTATAAATCCTGAGTAGTCATGAATCACGGGACACAAATGATGAATCTGTTATCATGCAAATTAAAATTAGCCTTTCTTCTCTGTATGTTGGGTATTTGTAACATTATTAATCCTGACCCTTCAAGCGGTAATCTCTAGGTGTTGTTTGGTTCCTTAAATGCAGGTACATTGCAAAACGTCAAGAGTAATTACATGATTTGGTCTTTGTCATTAAAAAATTCATATTCCTATTTTTGATAGCAAATGCAAAGTGTGCCATTTTAACACCTCTTCACCATGGGCTCACCACCTTCTGGCTGGAGAGAGATTTAAGAAAATGCTACAAAACATAGTAAAATATGCACAAAACAGACCATTTTTATGTCATTTTAAATGTTTCCAGTTACCTCATACACCGTACATTCCAAAAAAGAAAATGTTATACATACTACCAAACATATCACTTTACAATGTTCGTTATGGGAAAATGTATAATCATAGATGTGTATCTAAATTGTATCTGTATAGCCATGATATCTACAAAGGATCCATGCACAATAAAAAGATTTATAATTCTTCATTATGGTTGGAAGTTTGAGCTTGTTTGTCTGATTTCTTATTGGGTTTTAATGCAGGCCAATGGAATGACACAGATCGTAATATTCCATGTTTCTGTTTAAAGGTGTAATATGTAAGATATTTTAAAGTGAAATATTACAACAATCCCAACGTCTCGCCATGTTTGAAGGAAGGTTACATTGTAACTGATTTCCCTCAGCTGGTTGGGTTGTCAATTTTTCTCCATTCAAATGGTCAAAGAGGAGCGTTGTCTAATTTTTTTTTGTCTGTGAGCTCCTGGGTTTGCAGAGTCTTCGCTAGCAAACAGTCAGGCATTTGTAAATTGACACTGATAGGCAAGATGCAGCAGCATTTTGTAAAGATCCTAAGCCAGTAATAACCTAGAAGTAATTTCTCATACCCCTAAGAAGCCACAGCATTTTTTTACTCTAAAGTCGGGTAAAGAAAGCTAGAGACTAACCATGCTAACTGAATTAGAAGCAAATTGTTGGCTATAAAAACAAATCAAGCTAATTTTATAACCACTATGATTACAACCGTGAAATGTATTTTTCTACTTACCAACTTGTGTATGTCGTGGCTTGTCATTAGAATTTTCTCGTTCTAAGCCGTAGCTAGCAACAGCCATGAAACTCATGGAACGTTAGTGAGAAACTGACTCGAGTGTTTACAAATGTCCACCCTGGAGAGGTTGCTAGTTCATCGCACGAAACAACACACACACACACACACACCTAAGGACAATTAAGAGAAACCAATCAACGTGGCATTTTTGGACTGTGGGAGGAAGCCGGAGTACCCGGAGAGAACCCATGCATGCACAGGGACCCCAGGCCAGGATTCAAACCTTGCTGCAAGGCAACAGCGCTAACCACTGAACCACTGTGCAGCCCAGCCTGTTGATCAAGAACAAAAATAAACCTTTTCAAAGTCACTAAGACTTTTTCATATGATCTAAGATATTTAACTAAAAGTTATAATTACGTTTTAACTATTTTTTTTACATGAGAACAAAAATGTAAATCTTGCCATCTTTCTTTCTTTCTTTCTTTTAGTCACTTTACTGCCACTCTTTTCTTTCTTTCATTTTGTCACTTAACTGCCACTCTCTTTCTTTCTTTCTTTCTTCGTATTTTGTCACTTTCACTACCACTCTTTTTTCTTTCTTTCTTTCTTTCTGTCACTTTTACTGCCACTCTTTTTCTCTCTTTCTTTCTTTCTTTTTGTCACTTTACTGCCACTCTTTTTTCTCTTTCTTTCTTTCTTTCTTTCTTTCTTTCTTTCTTTCTTTCTTTCTTATTTTGTCACTTTCACTACCACTCTTTTCTCTTTCTTTCTTTCTTTCTTTCTTTCTGTCACTTTCACTACCACTCTTTTCTATTTCTTTCTTTCTTTCTTTCTTTCTTTCTTTCTGTCACTTTTACTGCCACTCTTTTTCTCTCTTTCTTTCTTTTTGTCTGTCACTTTACTGCCACTCTTTTTTCTCTTTCTTTCTTTCTTTCTTTCTTTCTTCTTTCTTTCTTTCTTATTTTGTCACTTTCACTACCACTCTTTTCTCTTTCTGTCACTTTTACTGCCACTCTTTTCTCTCTTTCTTTCTTTCTTTTTGTCACTTTCACTACCACTCTTCTCTTTCTTTCATTTTGTCACTTTACTGCCACTCTTTTTTCTCTTTCTTTCTTTTCTTTCTTTCTTTCTTTCTTTCTTTCTTTCTTTCTTTCTTTCTTTCTTTCTTATTTTGTCACTTTCACTACCACTCTTTTCTCTTTCTTTCTGTCACTTACTGCCACTCTTTTCTCTCTTTCTTTCTTTTTGTCACTTTCACTACCACTCTTCTCTTTCTTTCATTTTGTCACTTTACTGCCACTCTTTTTTCTCTTTCTTTCTTTCTTTCTTTCTTTCTTTCTTTCTTTCTTTCTTTACCTGATTGCTGTCATCAGCGTGTTTACTAAGCAGAACATCAGTGATGGAGGGTGGTGTTGCCATCATGGGATTACAATTCCCACGTTAAGCAAGCAGGTAGCGACAGTGGAGAGGAAAACCCCATTAACAGGATGAAACCTCCAACAGAACCTGACTCATTATAAGTAGACTTCCTCCACAACTCACTGGGGGTTTGAGAAGACAGCACACACACACACACACACAGAGAGAGAGAGAGACAGGTGACTGCCCCTACTGATGTTCCTTGACTCCTCAGGGTTTCACCACAGAGGTCTCTCTCTCTCTCTCTCTCTCTCTCTCTCTCTCTCTCTCTCTCTCTCTCTCTCTCTCTCTCTCTCTCTCTCTCTCTCTCTCTCTTCCCAGCTTCAGACTCCATTCTCTGATTCTGCTGCTGGAGCTGCTGATCTCCGTTGCCACTCAGGGGAGTCGACTCCGACCAAGAAAATTTTAAAAGATCCCATTTACGTCTCCTGGTAAAGTTGCCATTAAACATTCATTACTTTTTAAAAGTTTTGTGATTTATTCTTTATTACTAATAATAAACATAAAGACTTGCAATGTTTTTCAAGGCTAATTAAGGCATAGCAATTTTATTTGCATATTTATGTTTTATACCTTAATTGTTTTTGATGGATCTCACAACAACAACAAATGTAAACTGAAATAATTGAAACTTCATGTTGAGCCGTCAGTCAAAAGTAAAATGAAACTTTGTTTTCAAATTCAGACATAACATTGTTTAAAATTTATTTAGAAATAATTAAACAATGTTAGGTCAAATCCAAGAAATAATAATAATAATAATAAACTTATTTTTTGCATATTTGTATTCATTTGGAGCAACAATGGTTGTAATGTAATATAAATCAATGATGAATAATAATGAAATGTAACAATGTTTAACTTTTTTCTTAAATAGAATTTCCACATTTTAAAGAATTATTTTAGTTTTTTTAATCATGTTCAATTCAAGTGTATATCCTCCTCCTCCTTCTGCTTCTTCTGCTTCTTCTTCTTCTTCTTCTTCTTCTTCTTCTTATTATTATTATTATTATTATTATTATTATTATTATTATTATTATTATTATTATTATTATCTATTGTCCAGGTGAAGCCATATTTCCTGCTGTCTCTCACTCAGAAACCCATCATGTCCTGGGCCAGACCTGAGGTGGACCTGCATGCTGGTGAAGCAGAGGCAACGAACCCCTACAGCCTTGATGACCACCACTTTGAGGGTTCCCTGTTCCCCACCTCCACCCTCATCCCCATCACAATCATCTGCATCCTCATCTTCATCGTCGGGGTGACGGGCAACACCATGACGATCCTCATCATCCAGCACTTCAAGGACATGAAGACCCCCACTAACCTGTACCTATCCAGCATGGCTGTTTCTGACCTGATCATTTTCCTGTGCTTGCCCTTTGACCTTTACCGCCTATGGAAGTATGTGCCCTGGCTTTTTGGGGAGGCGGTGTGCCGCTTCTACCACTACATCTTTGAGGGCTGCACCTCTGCCACCATCCTCCACATCACCGCTCTGAGCATTGAGCGTTACCTGGCCATCAGCTTCCCCCTCAGAAGCAAGGCGATGGTGACCCGGCGCAGGGTCCAGTACATCATCCTGGCCCTGTGGGGCTTCGCCCTGGTGTCTGCAGCCCCCACACTCTTCCTGGTGGGGGTGGAGTATGACAACGAAACACACCCCGACTTCAACACGGGGCAGTGCAAGCACACCAGCTACGCCATCAGCTCCGGGCAGCTGCACATCATGCTCTGGGTGTCCACCACCTACTTCTTCTGTCCGATGCTCTGCCTCGCTTTCCTGTACGGCTCCATTGGCTGCAAGCTGTGGAAAAGTAAAAACGACCTGCAAGGCCAGAGCTCTCTGGCCCGTGAGCGCTCGCACAGACAAACGGTGAAAATCCTGGGTAAGTCACATCCAAACCCACTCCAGTGACATGAGTCAGATCAGGAAGTAAACATGACTCAGCGGTAATTCTCTTCTCCCAGAACATTGAAATAATTTAACTGAAGAGATGAGCATTCAGTGAGAAAAGGGGGAAGTTTTGTCATCATAAAGAGAATAAAATAATCAGATTTACACATAATTATTGTTTCTTCATGATTTTTAGGGTGTTGATTCCTTCCACACTTTAATCCTTTGTAAGGTACCAAACATCCACCGCTTTGTCAGGAGTTACTCATTAATCAAATCTTTATACGTCATTCGTTTGTTCCGTGGAAACATTCTGGAATTCTACTTACTCTTTGCAAATAACCACAAAGGAATGCATCCTCATAAAAGAACACCCGTAACATGGAGGCATTTTACATCAATTCACAGGAAAACAAGAAAAAAAAACAAAATCGGGATGGATTTATTTTTTATTGTCTGCAGCTATAAACACGAAACCTGTTTATGAAGTTGGTTTGCATTTCAGTTTTTCTGAAGCAAGAAAAATACCAGCCTGACTAGTTGAAACCTAGATTTTTCTGATTTTCTCCTCTGGCTTAAGAACAACTCCAGCTCAGACGCTTCTCCATGTGACAAAGCATCCATTTCCTCCTGCAGGAGCAGCCTGACACCAGGAGAAATGTGGTGCCACGTAAACTGCTGCTGCTGACATGATCTAGTTAATCAGCCTGCTAATCATGTCCTGCCATCGCTCATTCGGATCGCTTTAATCTGCGGCTCTGTTGCTTTCTGCAAAGAAAAGATTGCATTTCTAATGTCGTTCTTTGGCTGAAAATCAGTGGTGCACCTAGAATGTTTTCATAAGGGGGCCAGTGAAAAATTTGGGGTGGAACACCAATTTGGTTTTTGTGGTAACTGGGAGTGTAGGGGCCGGAATATTGTTGCTGTTAAACGACACGTACACTTGTTTAAAATGGCTGTAACTTGCATTGATTCGAAGCCTTGTTTGTGCGCGTCTCCCGAAATTAACGCAACACATTAGAACCCTGCAATACACGATTAACCAGTAGGTGGAGTTGACAAAGCGAGCGAGACACAGTCACCATGGACATTCCATCTCTGGTTCAGAGGTCTTTCAGAGGTATCTCCAATGCCGCTGTTATCTTTTTCCAGTGGTGGCTGGTGAATTATTTTATGGTGGGGCACATTTTAACAGAACAATAAACAAGAGACTAACAACAACCCACACATCCCCAGTAACAGAACCCCAACAAAATACCTGAAAACACACCAAAATAGAACCAAACAACTGAAAATCGGCTACCCACAATGCATGTCACCTGCTGCTAGTTCCACAGTGGGTGGGGTCACTACACAACGAACTACAAGCCACCAAGTTGTCCAAACATGCTTAAGCCTGGGGCGCACAGGAGACAGATGCCCTGCGCCACGTCACGTCCATGCCATCATTTTAAAAAGAAGCCATTATAGTTACTGAGAGTGGCTACACGGGGAGCGTAACGCCACGTTCCAGAAGCGCCGGTCTGCGCTGTGGCGCTGAAAATAGATGCCAGTTCTCTTTCAAGTGCCGTGGCGCTGCTGTTTACAACAGACATTACGACACGAATGGCTTTACGGTACAAACCCAACCGCCAAAACATGTACAAGCTTTTCATTTTTGAACTTTTGATTTGAAAATATTCTAATAAATAGCGTGCTTACCCATTTTTAATGAATTAGAGTCTCACAAAACATGACAGCAAGTCTGATCAAGTACAAACAAAAGAGTGACTTTCAGCTTCCTGTTCTCAAGTCCCGCGTGATGTTGTGACTGTTGCGCGACTTTCCAAGAAGCGCTCAGCGGCGCATCGATTCCTGTGACCCCCAAACCGCGGCGCTTCTGTGTCACAGTGCATCTGTCTTCTGTGTGCCCCAGGCTTTATTCACCAATAAGTGTAAATTCAGTCTTACCTTTGTTGGTTTATGGTCTTAATAATCCATATTATATTACAAAAATGCCCTTTTTTACCTGCTGGAGAGTGTTCTAAATCTCCGATGACACATTCCATCATTTTCCACTTCTTCATAAGAACAAAACTCCACGAGGTGTACTTAGCTGCCCTACAACACAGGGCGATGAACTGTGGGAAATTTCCGGTTCTGTTCTGACCTGAGCTGAGACTCATGATGGTGGTTCATTACACAAGCCTACAATATAACAGAGCAATGCATGCACACCAGCGCCGTTCCTCCCGATTAACAGACAGACCGGGGGTGGGGGGTGCACGCGCGGTTCAGGAGCCCGCGGGCCGCTGGACTAGACCTTTTTGGATGCATGCTACCCTCTTTCCTTGCTTGTTACCAAACTGCTGGAAGCCCTCGTAGTCTTACAAATCTCTGGTCTTTTGTGACCTTGCAGGACGAGCTGCACGGAACACTTTTGCTTCTGTTTTGCATCTGAAACATTCTCGATGGGAAGGAAGTCAGCGGGTAAAGCAAGTCTATCATGTTACTGGTGCTTAAGCATCCAGTAGAAAGATGGGGTTAGTCTGTGAGAGCATTGCGTAGCACCATTATTTTTCATTGCATCCAACACAGTGCTCTTCACTGGCTGCCTGTGGATTTTAGACTTAATTTTAAACTCCTTTTAATGGTTTTTAAGGCTTTGAATGGACTGGTTCCAGCTTATTTGATGGAGTTGGTGCAGCCTTATATCCCTGCTGGAATGCTCTGCTCCAAGAGCCGAGTGCTGCTGGTGGCTCCTAGAGCCCGGCTAAAGACGAGAAGGGGTAGGACACTACCTCTATCTGTAAGGCTCTCTCTATCAGTAGCAGTTTTTAAAACAAGGTTGAAGACCCACTTTTATGGTTTGGCTTTTACTTTCTGGGTTGGATTTTACTCTGGTTTCAGTTATTGTTTTAAAAGTTTGAAAATAGTTTAATTTCTCTGTTGCTGTTTCAGCAAAACAAAAATAACACAAAAAATTTTGAGATTTATAAATTTTTTGGAAAATGAACATCAGTGGCATGCATTTTAATTTTTAAGTTTTGAGTTGTTAAATAAATATGTAATGAAAATTTGCTAAATAATTTCATTTATTGGCTTTAAAATTTATGTCTAAACTTAAAAAAAATGGATGTGTGGTCTCAAAGCTGTTAAATACCAAACTGGATCCGAGAGCTGGAATAAATCATGGGAATTGACCTGTTACTCTAAACCTGAGCCCCCCCAACACACACACACACTTTAATTATGGAACTGACATTTATGTCCTTATACAAGTTACTGCCACCATTACAAAGTGATGATAGCTTTATCTGCAGGGGCTTCTTGATCAATACTGGTAACTCAGTAATTACCCCCCCGCCCCACCACACACACACACACACACACACACACACACACACATGCACGCACACACCTGACTGTGTTATTTATTGGAGTTCAGCTGTATTTTCTGTCCAGCAGAGTTTCTGCATCATTTTTTAGCTAACTGGGGCTCGTTTGCTCATTTGTTTGCCCTCGATATGAAAAAGTGTAGTTTAAGTATGAGCTGCAGTTGTATCAGGATACAGGGCTGATGGAGGTGTGTGTTGTTTTAGGACCTCTTTTATGGTTTTGTGTAATGCTGCGGGAGTTTTATGAATCTCACAGGTTTAGTGCAGATGAAAGGACTCTTAAAGAGCCTGAAAATAAATGATCTTAATGATTTTCCAAACATGAACAAGCAGTTATTGTATCTTTTAACATTAGATTTTTTTATTTTTGGACTCAGAGTTCAGACTGTTTGAATGGATCGGGCTGGTTAACACTTTTGGCAAACGTATTTGGTGGATTTTAGTCTAACTAATGTTTGTCGATTTCCTTTTATGCATTACGACAGCCTTTGAGTTAGTTTCCATGTTTCTTATTCAGTTTTGTGGTAAAAATAAAGCCTAAATAGAAGAACGTCAGCGCCTTGTGTCTATTTCATGGCCAAGTATGGCGACTCCTCTGGTTGCTTGGAAACCTGAAGACCACACTTGTTTGTGCGTCATTCTTCCGTTTTAAAAGAATGACAAATTAAATGTTCTGTGAAAAATAAAAATCTATTTCTCTTTAAGAAGTTTAGATATTGGACTCCAGGTGCAAAAAGGCTTCTGGTTGGAGTGTTTTAACTTTCTAACTCCCAGAATGTCTTTTTCTCCACCTCCTCTCTTCAGTGGTGGTGGTGCTGGCTTTCATCATCTGCTGGCTTCCCTACCACATCGGCAGAAACCTCTTCGCCCAGGTGGACGACTATGAGACGGCCATGCTCAGCCAGGACTTCAACATGGCCTCCATGGTGCTCTGCTACCTCAGCGCCTCCATCAACCCGGTGGTGTACAACCTCATGTCCCGCAAGTACCGGGCTGCCGCCAAACGCCTCTTCCTTCTTCACCAGCGGCCCCGACAGGTCCGCCACGGCCAGAAGCAGCTCTGTGTGACGGATCCGGTCTCAAACCTGAATGAAAGCCTGACTGGGGTCTGAGGGGTCAGAGGTCAGAAGAGGAGGAGGAAACTCAGTGAGGATGTGTGGAGGGAAACAGGGCTCAGTTCTTCACAAAACTTCAGTGCAAACTTCATTTTCTCACTGAAATTGACATTTTTGTCATAAAAATAATCGTTTAGAGTCAGCTTGTGCAGAAATATAAATTGTTTATGTTTCTAACTTGGATTTTGTTTGATACAGTGAGTTATTTTTGTTTGTTTATTCTCATAAACCCCACATAAAACCGATAAAGGAGAACATGAGTTGATGAATGCAGATTAAACTCAAAACAGGCCCACTTCTGTCCGTCTGTGTGTGACACCGGGAACACCTGAGACCGGAGCGTTGGGATCCGTGAGTACGTGCCGGCCATCTCGTGTTATCTGACATGTTATTATATTAAACCGGCTCTGAGTGAGATTCACGCTGGCAGCCAACATCCCTGCACCTCCACATTCAAACTAATGGCTGCACTTAAAAGAGGAACAAAGACATCAGGATGCAAGCGGCTGCAGAGCTGATTATTTTTTACTTTGTGTGGTCTTTCAGTTGCTTTTTTTGTACCTCGTCGACTCAAATAGTGAAATAAAAAAGGTTATGCCAGAGTTCTGTTTTTTAAACCGAAAACTCCTGAAATAAATGATTTTTTTTAGGTTCTGCCGGTTTTACGTTCTGTTCTTTGAACGGAGCTGTCACGATTCTGACCATGAATCATCAGGCCTTGGTTTGCACAAATACAAAGAGACGTAAGAGTCCCTCTGGGCTGACTCATCCGCATGACACTGCTCTTTCCTCTTCTTTTTTTAAACCGTTAGTCTCTTCAGTAGAAAAGCGAGTGCAGCCTGTAGGCTCGCATCCTTCAGACTATTACTGCTGCAGGGGAGCAACACGCACAGGTTCAGATCATTTCTTTACTGGTAATAAAATGATTTATTCTCTAAAAAAGAATCTACCTAAAATACAATAAAAATATCTAATTCATTCATTTTGGATAAAAACAAAAACAAAGCTACACTAAAAGTATGTCGATATGTTTATTTCAGAGTGGCCCTTAATCAGTTTATCTAAATAATCCCATAAGACGAGCGTTCCCTCCCGCTGCTTTATTAAATTACTCTGTCCTGGGATTTTCTAAATGATATTTCCATGAAACACAAATCAGCTCATTATGTGTGTATAAGTCGTTTAACACACTTCTAAATGATACTGCATTAGGCTCTTGTGCATCTGTTCATAATTGTTATTTAATTATGTTATTCTGCTTTTTTTAGTCACAAGTTTTATTATTTTCTTTTGCCAGCTCATCTGTTCTTGTCAGTGTTGTTCCAACCACCAGGTGGAGACAAAGTACTGCATACAGCCAGCACACATAGTTAGTCCCCATATGGAATAAATATGGGCAAGTCGTATGGGTCCCACCAGGGTTTGTCCGCGGTTTCCAAGGTGGCCCCAGACGGGTTTGCCCAGAAAGATTTTTGTCCACGTAGATTTTAACGGGCCCTTTAAGGGTTTTCAGAGGGTTTGACTTAAACACCAGCTCATTAAATCTTTGTGAGCATTTATGAGACACAACGTTGCTGTAATATTACGCTGATTTGCCGGCACAAATGTTTTTTATTTTTTTGTTGCACTATTTAAAATTTATGTTGACCAATAAAAGCTTAGCCATCCTGGTTGGGTCATTCCAAAGACTTTAAAACGAGGCCCAAGTCCTCCTAGCTTGACACTCGGCTTTAAAGGGTTGGATTGGGGGGTTAAACCACCAAATAGTTCCCGAGCGCAGCCGCTGCTGCAGCTCACCCCTCCTCACAGGATGGGTGAAATGCAGAGTTCTCCAGTGTGTGGTGATGATGAGTATTGGGACTTTATAATGACATTTACATTAAAAATGAGATAGAATTAATAAAAGTAAGGTTATATTAATGTACCTTAATAATATTGAACTTCAAGATGGGTGAGTCCATGAATGCTAATTTTCAACGTGTCAAGCTATGTCACTAGATTTTTTTATCAGAGCATTTTTACTTCTATTTTCTATCAGAAGATAATGCAGGAAATAGGGGTAGAAGCATGGACGTCATTTTCACTTTAGAAGTGGGGGGACACGGGTGGGGTGGTGGTGGTGGTGGTGGTGGTGGGTGGGGGGGTCTTTACAGTATGCTCTAATGGGAAACAGGCTTCAACTCAAACGGTTGTTTTCCGCTTGGTCCTAGAGCTCAACCAGTGTCAATTTAATATAGCGTAATATTGTTTTTGGATGGTAAAAAGTGCAGGGGTCAACAACCCCCCCCCCCCAAATTATGTCCATGGGTAGAAGACTATTTTCACGTTTAGCCTGCATGTTAAACTCAGGGTGACGGATTATATATGAAAAAATAACAAGTTTAAATGGTTTCTCAGTGGACTTTCTCTATAAAGTCAGCTTTACTTTGTGTTTCAGCAAAAAATAAAAAATTGTGTTTTCACATTTTGACGACTCAAGGGCAATTCAGAGAAGAAACAAAAAGGAAGATCCAAAATGATTTCAAGTGTTTTACGGTCAGGAAAAAGTTAGATTCAAGCTACCTGGTTTCACTTTAAATGTCCAGACAATATTATTCTCCATTTATTATGGAGCGTCCCACAAACAAAGTAGGTACTATAGGGGCCAGTTACCAGACCCCAACAACCACAAAACTTTATAAATAAACATGCAATGATACATTTGTGGTGGTGTAAAATGTTTAGTGCTACAAAATATCAACATAAAAGTTGTTTTATGACAGTAAAAACTCTTTGTAACAAGTCCCAGCTGGTCGAAAACTAATCTCCATGTCTCCAAACTGAGGTTGTTCAAGGATTTTTCCACAACAAGACAGAAATGCCACTTTTTTAAAAACGCTGCTATCCCTTTAATTAATTATATTATAATACGGTATGTGAGGGCAAAAACAGAAAAAAGAGCAATTTGATGCAACAAATGAGTCTTATTTTGAAAATCCTCTGCAGAATTGCGTGCTTGAAAGTTGCACGCTCCTCCCTCCACATCCACGAGGCTGATTAGGCTCCAGATATAAACACAGTTTCTCCTTCTCCTCTCAAGCTGCAGCAGTTTTTCCCCAAAAGTCTGAAGCGGATTGGAGGTAAAAATTCCAAGAGGGAGACGGTGTGTTTGGAGCATTCCAGGGATGGAGGTAGAAATTCTGCTGAATCTTGTGCTTTAAAATCTGAGGTTTTTACACATTTTACGGTTTTCATCTAAATCAGTAAGTCACATGAATGTGGCTTTTCATGCTGTGTTGGTGTTGTAGATTATTGTATTGCTGTTTGAACCAAAAAGTTGCCTGTTTTTCACTTCATTATGACATAAAATCTGTCACACATTGGCTTCTAACAGGCCAACTTAACCGCACAAACACAAAAGAGCCAAAAATTCTCACCAAATCAATGTTCCCCGTTTTCCACACTGACGCAGACACATTTCATATCAAGTGGCTGCAGTGCCTGAGGAAGGAAAAGGAGCAGATAACAACATCTGTCTCAAGTTTGGTGGTTTAAGTGATTTTCCTCAGCAGAAGTCCACTTCTGTCGCCTAAGTGTCCTGGACAAAAGCTAAAAAGAGACGAAGGACTTTTCCATCCCTGTCTGCTAATGTTTTTTGGGGCCTCCTCCCTGATTAAAAAAAAAGCTCTTTCCAACTTTTGAATTTGTTCTTGTTCTGTAAAAAATAGGAAGATAAACACCCAATTTTTTCCTTGACAGCACATTGGGGAGTAGGGAAGTAAGCTTCTGACCTTTGGTTTTCTACCTGACAGCAGAAATGGAAATAGAAATGAGTTTTGACCTTCATTAGAGCACTGCCTTTGTGTATATTTGTGTTTAAATGACCTAAAAAGCATTTGTGTCATGAGTCTACAAGTTGTTCTAGAATCGTGGAAAGAAACCAAGAATGACAATAATGGTGAACCATTACCTGAAACTGTGTTTATCACATCTATATGAATACTCTCCACAAGTTTTATGTCTTTATTTGAATGTAGAATCAAAAAAACTTCTTTATTTTTCTGTAGATGGTGTTGAATGAACTCTGAAAATGACATATAAACCATTCTGAAGTGCTTCTTTTGTGTAAAAATAATAAATAAAAATAATAAATAAATTATTATTTCACTCCATGTAGATGGATTCTAGAACAGCCTGAGTTAGGAGAAATGGCTTCACATCCTAAAAGTCTCATTCACCCTCTCATTTAACTCATTCACTGCCAGCCGTTTCCTGATCACTAACGGTCTTCGCTGCCAGCGTTTCTCACCGTTTTTACTATTTTTTTAAGAGTCACAGAACGTTGCGCGCTAGCATGATATCGATGCCAAAACAACCAAAACAAAGAGGAGACTCACCTCTTACATCAGGAAGAAGCCGCGTGTTTCGAGTGTTATCCGTTTTTTCATAATCCGTTGTCAAATTGTGATCGGCAGACGCTTTTCCGGTTCGCGCCTCACTTTTTTTTTACAGGAACGGCCCAAAACGATCTCCAAACACATGGTTGTGTTGCTTCCTGATCATGTGATCTGTGACGTATGCGGATGAAGATCGGCTTCAGGGCTGAGATGTTTGTTCTCTCAGCGCGGGGGCTCGTTCCGATGCTCAAACAGTAAAAAAAATGCAAATGACGACTTTAGTCGTCATTGGCAGTGAACGGTTGGATCTAAAATGACGACTTTAGTCGTCAGTGGCAGTGAATGAGTTAATACGTCTGCTGTGGTCTCCGGTATGAATGAATAACTTGAGTTGTTTTCCGTGGGGAAAAATTTCTCTCTCCAGTTTGAGTATGTAGCGGTTAGCCGTAATAGTGGAAAACAATTATGTTACGGGCCTTACTCATTAATATTCATGATATGCAAACATCTCTCCTCTGATTGGCTGACAGCAGTCTACCTCTACCACCATTCACTCTTCTCTCTTGGGTACAAAAAAACAATATTTTATCTCCACGAACAACACAAGCCTGAATATGGTCCTCTGGAGTTGCTAACGCTAATGGTTAGCTCCAACTAGCTGAGATTGTTATGTGTTTAAGCACATTTTAATAAATGTTTCTACCTTTTCCCACAGAGGTGTGTTTGTTACCATCACTGATTTATTTTTACCAGATTAATCAGAAACCAAACACACCACTGGAGGTTGTTCTATAAACAGGCTTGTCTTAAGAAATAGTTATAGAGGGTGTTCACATTTTCTGTGTTGGTATAGCAAGCTGATGAAACACTGGAAAGTTGTGTAGTAGCGTGTGTGTGTGTGTGTGTGTGTGTGTGTGTGTGTGTGTGTGTGTGTGTGTGTGTGTGTGTGTGTGTGTGTGTGTGTGTGTGTTTAATGCACCTGATTTTTGGGTGTGTGTTTTCTGCACTGGTGGTTTTCCTTTGGTGGAAAAACAGCAGAGGAGTGAGTATTTGGGATTGTGTTGCCAACCATCTGGCGAGCACACTTCTTATGTAATGCACCGTAAACCCAACAAACCAGTTCAGTTCTGATCCAACCACTCCACTAATGACTTCATTTCCCCTTTCTTCCTATGCAGCGGTACGTCATTTGAAGAGTGTTGTTGCATGATTTTTAAAGCTCTCACACCCCAAAGTTTGTTCTACGAGCTCTTCTTTACCAGCAGATGTTTGTGAAATCTTCAGATTTGTTTGTTTGGCGGCAGACTTCATCGATTCATGACATAAAACAAGATGATGACTGTAGAAAGAGTCATGCAGACTCCGAGGTCACAAGGCTGCACCGTTGTGTGATTTGCCTGAAGAGTTTCTTACTTTATTAAGACGGTTAAAGAATTTAATATGAAACCGATTAAATAGTAATGTGCACAGGGTGACGTTAATAGAAAAATCACATTGTACTGTTTCCTGTAAGTTTATTTTGACTTTATTCATATTTCTTATATTTTCTACCTGATAATTACAGATTTTAGCTTTATTGCGATTGGATAAAAACCATAGCAAAGTATTTTAGATGGTTTTATCACGTTTTTGTTGTTGCTGTTGCACCTCAGTCTCAGGAGTTTAAGGAAAAAAAGCTTTTGTTGCCTGCAAAATGTTTAACTGCATTAGAAGTACGTGCGTACAACTTGTTTTTGAAAAAGGTGCGTGCACAGAAAAACTTCTTCTGGAAAAGGAAGTGGCGCCGCCTTTAGCGGCTAGCTCTGAAGAAGACTGCAGGAGTGGTCAAAACTGTCAGCAAAAAGGTAAAACAACATTTCCTGTGTTAAAAAACAGCCTAATAATGCAAACATGTACTTATCTGCTAGATATATGGAAGTGTAGAGCTGCCACCAAAGCAAAATAAAATGAGAGCAAAGTCACGTTCATAATGTTATTGTTCCAACAATATAACTTTCATGTTTGCAAAATATAGACATTTTTCACATTTTTACAATCAGCTTCTCTAAATCCGAGACCATGGCCTTGAATAGGAAAAGGGTAGAATGCATTCTTCAGGTCAGGGAAGAGGTCCTGCAGTATCATAATGTCTTGTTTACGAGTGAGGGAAAGATGGAGTGCGAGGTTGATGGGCGGATTGGTGCAGCGTCTGCAATGATGCGGGCGCTGTACTGGCATGTTGTGGTGAAGAGAGAGCTGAGCCAGAAGGCAAAGCTCTTGATTTACAGATCGATCTACATTCCAACCCTCTTCTATGGTCACGAGCTTTGGGTAGTGTGAGAACGAGTTCACGGATACAAGCGGCCGAAATGAGTTTTCTCCGCAGGGTGGCTGGGCTCTCTCTTAGAGATAGGGGAAGAAGCTCGGTCATCCGGGAGGGGCTCGGAACATACCTCCACATTAAGAGGAGCCAGTTGAGGTGGCTCGGGCATCTGGTCAGGATGCATCCTGCACGCCTCCCTGGTGAGGTTTTCTGGGCACGTCCAACCGGGAGAGGACCTAAAGGAAGACAGGACACACTGGAGAGACTATGTCTCACGGCTGGTCAGGGAACGCCTTGGATTTCCCCGGAGGAGCCGGCCTGTGTGGCTGGGGAGAGGGAAGTCTGGGCCTCCCCACTTAGGCTACTGAACCCGCAGCTCCAGATAAGCGGATGAAAATGGAGCGATGGATTCTCACAATATAAATAAATTCAAAAGTAGATAAGGAAGAAAAAAAGTCATAATCTGAGGCACTTGGAACAATTATTTATCATCATCTAAGCCGACGCATTTCAGTTACGTGCAACCTTCTTCAGGGCATCAGATCATGACTTTTTTTCTTCCATATCTACTTTTGAAAATGTTATGATGTTGAAGAGCACCCGAGATACTACAGAAATTATAGATATATCTAGTCCCACTGATGCACACTCCCACCTGTTTTAATAAATAGTATATTGTATGAATGTGATATTTATGTTGTGTGAACATTAAATGATTTAGTTAGAACATGGCTGACATGCACATTAAACAAAATCAGATCGTTCCATTAACATCTGCAGACTGTCAGATATCATCTTGACTTTATAACCTACTTTACTCTCAGATCTCCCTTAAGAGCAGTTAACCCGCTCTGTCTGCACCAGCTGGTTCTAATTCTGGCATCTGGCCATTCTTCTTCCTTTTTTGGCAGCAAGAGCGCAAACATAAGTGCTCCAAGCAGCTTTTACTTTGCAAATACCATCCCACCCTTGAGGTAAATTTAGTATTTGGCTGATGTTACTAATTACTTAAAAGTTTGACTAATAGATGTGCATGTACATGTAAAACATTTATTAGAAAAAGAACATTTGAATTAGAATGCTAAAAATAAAAATGGTGAAAGTTAAAGTTAGAGCTCTGAAGCTGTTCTTGCGTTAGCGAGGAGTTTGTTAAATGTATATTTTTATTGAGGTTGTGATATGTAGTTTTAGGCTGCTGAGTGTTTTTCTATGGTCATTTGTAGTTGAAGGTGCAATATGTAAGATTGACATCCTGTGGTCAAATTTGGGTACTGCAGCCCACTTTTCTAAACAAAAACTACCTTTCTTCCTGCTTTTTTGTGGGTTTCGAACTTGTGTATTCAGCATGTTGACATATAACTTTGTTTGTTAAAAGTGATATACAAATGAAGTCTATGAAGAAGATAGTTTCATGGCTGTTGCTAGGTACAGCACCAGAGGATTCTAGAAGACAAGCAAAGATGAGTCATTAACAGTTAGTTGATAAGTAGAT